CATTTAATAAATGTTTTGTTTTGATATACAAGTTGTTCAGAATTTTTCAGCTAAAAAAAAGCGACATCAATTTCTTGACAACCTAATATTTACAAAACTTAAATCTGAAATATACATAAAATATATTTTAAAAAATTTTTCTTTCAAATCTCTAACACTATCATACTTTTTATCTTTTCCTTGGTGATCACAAAAACTATAAATGACATAGAACTTGAAAAACATTCCCTATTTCTTAAAAATAATTACTTTCATTAACCAATATTCATTATATATAAGCACATTTAAAGCCAATTTTTTTATTAAATATTTACACAAAAGTAAATCTGATTGTGTGTGTAAACAAGCATTAAGCTTGATTTTATTGGGATTAAACAACGCTAGAATTGGTATGGTTAAGCAAACATGAAGCAAGATTTGATTGTGTTAAAACATGCATAAAGCCAAATTCCAAGTTCAATATATGTAACACTAGATTTGATTGTGGTAAACCTGCACAAAGCCGAATTTAATCAAATTCAATATATGTAAAGCTAAATTTGATGATGTTAAACATATGTTGATAAAACAAATATTAACTATAAAATAAGCCCAAATATAGAAGTGTTAAAAGTGTTTTTGTTTAACTGACATTCACTTGTATGTGTACAGGAACAAATTATTAATTAAATACTTATTGTTACAAAGAAAAGTAAATAAATATAAACTTCATATAAAATTAAAGGATATTTTGCCTTCACTTCTCCTTCAAATCCATACATTTGATTCATAGTCTGACTTTCATGATTTCCTAAAACAAAAATATAAATAAAATGTTAACTTCTGGTACTAATCAACAACCCACACAATAACCTCCTCAGTAACATCTGGTAATGTCTCGTGGCCATTAGCAACGAGTGGTATCAGCTTTTATTTCTAGAACAAAGACCATTAATGAACCATGTTCATCTTTATTTCTTACCTTTCAACAGAATGAACAAAGAAGTTTCCAACTATGTAACATGAAAATAAGTCTATGGATTTCCCTACCTCTGGACATGAAGAAATGGTTTGGATAAAGAAGTTTGAAACTAAATAATGTGAAGATACATTCTACAGAAAACGAGCCTCGGTCTACAAAATCTCCATTGAAAAGCTGAGGAGTCAAAGTTAAGGGCAAAGAGTAAATTACTCACAAATTAGGTCAGAATTAAATCCACTAAATGGCATATATTAATCAACAGACAGTAATTATTGATCAATAATTAAGATGAGGAGCCAAAGTTAAGGAAGTAAATTACCCTCTAATTATGTCAAAACAGAAACAATTAAGTTCAGTAAACACAAATATTAATCCACAATTAAAACCAACAAATAATAATTTTTAATCATATTAGCTGCTCAGTAAGCTGTTTTAAAACATGTCTTCAATTCTGATATTGATTAAATAACTGCAAACAACATAAAAATGTTATCTGTCTATTACAAGCTAAAAGAACAGATTTTTATCCAATGCTTCACAAGTAAACTTTTTAAACAGTTCCAAGACTCACAAGCATCATAAGAGGTTCAAGCTAATAACTGAATTTGCCAACAAAATTTACAAAAACAAACAAAAGATGATGAACTTTGAGTAAAAGTTTACATTTATTATACCATAAAGATTTGATGTAACTTTTAAAAGAGGAATTTAACTGCAAGAATACAAATACTAACTTTCCTTCTTCATCTTACAATGAAATATAAAAACTTATTAGTAGTTCCAAAAGTAACACACATTAGAAGATGAAATACTTCATACTTGAAATTTATTCAATAAAAGTTTTATTTACTAAATTATGTACGGATTTTCATTTTCTGAGCATAATACAGCACTTGCACTCCCTGGGAGGAAAATCATAATAATTTTAAACAGAAGTGATCTGTTGTCAAGGTGTGATATAATCTCAGCTTCGATAAATAATAGACTAGTGGTCCACATACATAATAAAAGGTTATTTTACTCTTCTTTTCAACTGTATAAGTAAGAATTTGAGTTCAGCACCAAGTGATAAAAGTTTAGCTTGATGATAAGTTTCTAGAGTAAAAGATGTTTGTAAACAACTTCCACTATGATTACAGTCCTGATTGTTTAAAAGCTTTCATTATTATTTTATACTTTATTAAAACAAGAGCAATCAAAGAGATTGCATACCTTTGCCCCACTGCTCCATTTCGAGATTGCATATATTTATATAGGATAATTTCAAATTTTGCCTTTGAAAACTCAGAAAATCGTTCTGAGATCCACTATGATCAACGATCCAGGTAATTGTTTGTAGTGTGATGTGGAGTTTCAACCTTAATGTGCACATGAAATTTGGTAAACTCTGGTCACGCTTTACAATTACTATCCCAAAACAGCAAAAATGCCCTATTTCCCTATTATAAAAAATGATTCAAAGTGATCCAGAAATTGGACCCAGACCAAATTTGGGGAGGACTGTCCCATGCTGACTTTCCATCTTGTATATAATTCATGTGTACCCAAAACAGCAGAAATACCCTATTTCCCTATTATAAAAAATGATTCAAAGTGATCCAGAAATTGGAGCCAGACCAAATTTGGGGAGGACTGTCCCATGCTGACTTTCTATCTTGTATATAATTCATGTGTACCTTGTTCTATTAGTTTTCGGGGTACATGCACAAAAACACAAACAGACACACATACACGGATCCAAGGGTAATAACAGTGTTTGCAGTACATGGTCAACGGTAATAGCAGTGTTTACAGTACATGATCAATGGTAATAACATTGTTTACAGTATGGGGTATCGTTTACAAAAATACTACACCAAAGAAACAGAACACAAAACTGCAACTCAACATCTACTACAAGTCTACCACAACGTCGGACCTTATCGTGAAAAACAGCCCTGCTAAAAGACAACAGATCTACAGCAAGTGAACGCCATTTCCGAGTACAAGTGTAATAAAGGAGAATGCGAGCTCCTGGCAAATGCCTCCTACATCGGAATGACTACCACAACCCTGTCAAGACGCCTAACAATGCACCTACATAATGGAGCCATCAAAGAACACTGTGCCCGCATCCACAACCAAAAACTCACACCTCAGGACCTAGTACAAAACACCAAAGTAAACCGCCGATTTAACGACTTCACAACTCTTTAAATACACGAAGCAATAAAAATCCTACAGCAAACTCCCATAATCAACAAACAATCGACAGGAACAGCACACACACTGCTACTTCTTGGCGAGAAACCCCCAAGCCACAATACAATACTCCACCAATTAACGCCTTCCACGAGCTAGATACCACCACCTGCTTACCCATACCTATAAATATCCACCAACAGTAATCACAATTTACACAACATTCAGCCTTGATAATGGATGCAGAATGCATTCAAAACGCGTCGGCCAACTGATCGCTATCTAC